GCATATTTCATTCAAAGATACGCACATTCCTCAAAGATGTCTGACGATCTACTAGTCTCAAATTTGTTCTCAGTGAAGGATAAAGTAGCGTTAATTACAGGTGGAGGCTCCGGAATTGGTAAAATGATTGCAAAAGCATTCGTAAAGAATGGTGCGATAGTTTATATCGCTTCAAGGAATAAAACAGGTGTTTCAAGGGACAAATCAAGCCTTGATGATGGTATATTATAATAATTTTCTAGAATTCAAATTATAAATTGACACAAAAATAAATAAATCAAATTCTCTATTCATAATAATTATACTTTTAAAAAGTTGCAAAGGAATTAACAGAAATGGGTCCCGGAAAATGTTTTAGTATTGAAGCAAATTTAGATTCAAAAGATGCATGCGAGAAATTGGTTACTGATTTCAAAAATTTAGGAAATGATAAACTTGATATTCTTGTGAATAATTCTGCTACTGGGCATGATGCTGGTTTGACAGATTTTCCCGAGGATGCGTGGGATAAAATCTATAACCTAAATGTTAAATGCGTTTTCTATTTAACGATGGCGTAAGTAATTTCATATATTTTTTGTACAGGTTTATAGCAACAAATATTGATCTAAGCTAATGCTAACGCGCTAAGGGTTTATATATATACTAGCTTTTTACCATTACTCGAAAAGGCCAGTAAAAAATTGGTTGATCCATCAAGGGTTATCATAACCGGAAGCATTCTTGGTATTGTTGGCATTAACATTATATTCTCACTTAACGATAATAGCGATACATATTAACAAATTTACATAATCAGGTATTGGTCAAGGCGAGCTCAAAGTAGTGCAAGCACTTGGAATATGTACCCTAGCTTATGGTTCATCCAAATCTGCCGTACATAGCGTTTCTAAGAATTTAGCTGTGTATCTTACGTATGAAATTATTTTCTTTGATACCTTTATATTTTTATATCGAAAAATTAAAAAATATATATTTTTTTAATTAGCCCACGAGGAATAAATGTCAATGTCTTGGCTCCTGGTAATGTTCCCGTGTCGACTAGAATAGCTGAACTTGATGAAATCGGTATTAGTGAAATTCCTCAAGGTAATTAGTAAACATTAAATCTTGTCCGTTACAATTATATTACTCAAAAATTTACATAAATTTTTATTTGTTTTAGGTCGTGTTGGAGGTGAGTTAGACATGGCTGGAGCGGCGTTATACTTAGCTTCGCGTGCTAGTAGTTGGATATCTGGCATTGAGCTTGTAGTCGATGGTGGAAATCTCTTACAATTTAAATTAACGGATGTACAAAAAGTGCAATTGCCCAATATAAATTAACAAATGTTCAAAAAGTGCAATTACATTTATGAAAAAATATGTATTTTGCACTAATCATGATTAATAAAATCAGATACAGTATGTTTAAAGT